TGTACTGATCATTTCATCCATTTTACTGATCACTTAAATCGTAGCCTATTTATTAAAAGGGTCGCAGTGAGATTAGTATAGTTTAAAGTTTATACCCATCTCTCAAAAATTCAATACAATTTCTCCAGGAGTATATTATGACACACAACAGAATTGTTTTGATCTTAGAAAAATATGCCATTTAGGAACATTCATTGTATTTGAACATGCAGGCTTTCTCGGAAAGTTTATTTCTTCGTATAGTAGGCTTCCAAGATGTGGAGAGGGGATCGATGAATTTGGACGGAGGGGCTAAAATTGTGATTCTTACCTGGACGTCCTTAATTGATGATCCCCATCCTCCCCGTATGGCATTGTTGAGAACTAATTAGTTCTTCGATTTTCTTTTGTCAAATGGAACGCTCATTTTTAAAAAATTTTTCATTGACATTTTCCCCCTATATATGATTAGTTTATTGCAAAATGTGAAAAATATAGACGAACATTTGTTCTTTCTGTAGGTGTTACCGACACAATATCAGTTCATTGAATTGAAACTAGACAATAATTTGTTTCCTTCATTCATAAGTATGAACAAAGATCTTCCTGCAAAATATCCAATGATAAAATCATAACTGTATTGTTATCAACGAATAAAGCGGGTTGCTATTTGAGAATAACCAAAAGAAAAAAAAACTATTTATTGTGCAACCCAAAGAAAAGAAAAACGAAATAACAAATAAGCAAAACAAAACAAGCAAACACGAAGAGTACTATAAATACAAAGAGAAGCTAATCATTTCTAATACTAGGTGATTTTTGTTAAGTTACAGGTTAACTTGTGTTTTAAAAAGCAGTTGGTAACCTGTTAATTGTTTTTTTTTGTTGCAGAAGAACTTTCTTTACCTAAAATGCAATCAAGAAAAAAACAAAATAAAATCGGATCTTGAGCTTTGCGACTTGAAAAATATTGCGTGAAGGTATTTATATAACTAGAAGAATGGAATTATTTGAACTCGTTATGATTCAACTTGAAAATCTTCTATCATATCATAACCAGTAGAATATAGGCATGTGGTGAGTCTGAGCTCCTCGGTCTGGGCTCGTTACAGGCCTATTATTAATTATAAATGAATAGTGTTCATCCATAGAAAAATGTGTTCTTTTTAACTAGTAAACGAGGAGCAATAATCCAATCTAATTTGAATTAAATTAAAATTAGATTGATTTCGTATACAAACTATTAAAATGAATACTCAAAGTTATTCAATGAGGTATATTCTATCTACTTTTAGGAAGAAATCCCTTGAAAACCTGACCATGTCATTAGCCTTTTATACGATCGATATTCTCTCGTATTTTTAAAATACATACGGATGTGTTTATTCCATAGTTTTCTGTCCACGAAAATGAAATGCTTTACGCAATAAAAACATCTTAATACAAAATCAACAGATTAGTACTGAAAAGAGAATATATCGCACGCAACTGTTTATTTTTTCGTCATTCACATTTCTCTGATAAATAAAAAAATATATTATTTTTCAAATAGAATTTGTATTCATAATAAAAAAATACATAATAATTATTATTATTAAAATTATTTGAGAAGTAGTAATAACTATGAATTATATAAATTATCATAGAACTTTCGGACATGTTCCGGTCTGTCATCAGTATGTTGTTGAAGATACTATTGATATTAGAAATAATGAATATAATAATAATAATACCTATTTCACTTCTATAATAATATCATTTAAGATAATTCATAGTTATTACTACTTCTAAAATAATTTCAACAATTATTATTATTATGTGTTTTTCCATTATGAATACAAATCCTATTTAAAAAACAAAATATTATCTTAAATGATATTATTATAGAAGTAAAATAGGTATTATTATTATTATTTCATTATGTCTAATATCAATATCATCTTCAACAACATACTGATGATGGACCGGAACATGTCCGAAAGTTCTATGATAACTTATATAATTCATAGTTATTACTACTTCTCAAATAATTTTAATTATTATTATTATGTATTTTTTCATTAAAAAAACTATGGTTTTTAAAAATCATCTGATTAAATCCATTTTTAGTTTTTTTTAAATATCTGTGACTTACTAAAAAATGATATAAGATAATTTTCCACGAATATTCGGCACCAGCCATATTTCTGTAAATCATTTTGATCAGCTAAAAATGTAGTATTCATTAGTATGTTAAATAATACATATATTTTCTTACATTTTCTAATAATAATTTCGTATACTGGTATTTCTTTTGTTAACTCATCACATAATTCACTAGTTGAACCAGCTCCTATAACTACATTTGTATCAGCATCGACCAAACATATATCAATATTAGTTGCAATGTCGAAATAAACCTTGACATCCTTAATAAGCTTTTCAAGTGGCATCGATGGAAAAACTTTTATTAAGGCTTCTTTTGTGAAACACGATCTGAAAGGAGTGTTGAAGTGTTTAGGGGTAGAAATTTGGACCCACCCCCCCCCCCCCCACAGACCGTGACAGAGAAAATCCATACCCATCACAGACCGTGACAGAGAAAATCCATACCCATCACAGACCGTGACAGAGAACCCGGGTACCCATCACAGACCGTGACAGAGAACCTTGGTACCCATCACAGACCGTGACAGAGAATCCAGGGTACCCATCACAGACCGTGACAGAGAATTCAGGGTACCCATCACAGACCGTGACAGAGAACCCTGGTACCCATCACAGACCGTGAGAGAGAATCCGGGTACCCATCACAGACCGTGACAGAGAACCCGAGTACCCATCACAGACCGTGGCACAGAAATTGTAGTTATAAAGCATCAGATATACGGTCAGCTACAAATGTGTCGTAAGGAAATGCAACAAAAGGATTTCCATTTTATTAGTAACAATAGGTCCATCGTGTTTCACATTTTTAATCCCGCAAGGGATTGCGCTAACAGCTTTTTTTTCATAGATAAATTTGATCATTTTCCAACTATTTGAATTCATTGTGAAATTATAATATGCTGAAAAAAACGAGACAGAACAGTATTCAAATAAAAATTTCAAATTATTGAATGAAAATGACAAAAAAAAATATAAACTAGGAAATATTACTCCAGATTTTTTAATGTTGAGAATTGTTTCACTCAGTTGAAAAACAAATAGAAATCAATTTAAAATGTATCCTCTCAACAACTATTCCGATAATTAGCTATTCATTTAGAAATAATTCGTGTTCAGATTTAGGGGTCGAACACACTAGAAAAAGTGACTTAACTTAAGACAAATTTAAGCAACGTGATTGGTTAAGTCAGACTTAAGTCATCTCAAAAAGATGACTTAAGTCTGACTTAACCAATCACATTACTTAATTCAAACTTAAGTTAAGTCAGTTGTCTCTAGTGTGTTCGACCCCTTATTTGAGATAAATCGTCAGATATGTCAATAAAGACAACGTCTAATCAATTGCAAATAACGAATTGCATGGTTAGATAAAGAATGAAGCGAAAAATAAAAAAAAGATGGCACCATAAATCAGTGCTATTCTTTCATAATGACACATTATACACCCTAGTCAATGAGTACGCTCTAAGAACGTAAAAAAAACAAACAAAGACAAAAAAAATACCGTTGTAGTCTCTGTTATTTGCCTCCATCTCTTCATCAACAACTACTTGATTCATTGAAAGTTGATAATCACCAAAAGAATGATTTAAATTTAACAAATATACAAGCAAGTGAAATATGTATTGAAGATGATGTTATGATTAATAATGCTGATATATTTATTGAAGATGATGATGATAATCTTAATGAAGGTAATATTAACTGTTAGCTTGATACGATTAACAAAGATAATTGAACAACAAAATCAAGTGCATGGGATACATTGAAAATTATTTTTTTTGATAGATTCTTCTGATGAAAATCAGGTGATGAATATAAACGATGCAGGTGAGCATGAAGAAGGTAATCCAATGTCCAGATATTCACGTGCAACTTAGTTGAAGATATAAATAGCTCTGTTCATTAGAGGTGTTGCTTTATTTTTATTATTTTTTATAATAAAGAATAAAGAAAATAGAAAATCGTTATATTGAGAAAATAAAGATAAAGAAATCAAAAAATCTTTATTCTTTATAAAATAATGATAAAAGAAATCTTTATATGTATAAAATAACGATAAATAAAATCTTTACTTTATAAAATAAAAGATAAACAAAAAATATCTTGAACTGTATAACGACCATTGCACATAAGCCACGACCTTTTGCCACAGAGGCTGCTCAATCGATTTTCTTAAATTTTGATTTCACTTCCATATTTGAAAAGTGCATCAATTAATGAGTTTTTTTGCCACCAACTGTACCTCGATAGTTCAAACCGTTGCTGAGATATTCAATTTTTAGTTTAAGACCATTTTTCTTCAGTAGACGATGCTAATGGCACGCTTGTTAGTAAACACGCGTGCCATTAGCATCGTCTACTGAAGAAAAATGGTCTTAAACTAAAAATTGAATATCTCAGCAACGGTTTGAACTATCGAGGTACAGTTGGTGGCAAAAAAACTCATTAATTGATGCACTTTTCAAATATGGAAGTGAAATCAAAATTTAAGAAAATCGATTGAGCAGCGTTTGTCGCGGCTTATGTGCAATGGCTGTTAAACCTTCTTCATTTTCGTTTTGACATTTATGAATTATATTCTATTTTCTTGTATGTTTACTGATCTTAATCTAAAATATATATCGAAAGAGAGCAATTTGCAATTTTAAGATTTGACAAAATGAGGTTCTGAATGAGAAAATTACGATAAATGTTCTTAGACTGTTCTATTAATTGTTGATGTATTCGAACAGATTTTCCTGCCATAGTACTATTTCTAAGGGCTTTTGGACTGAAGATTCCAAGATTCTATAGAATTTCATTGGATTTCATTGGATTCCATTGGCTTCCATCGGATTCCATTGGATTTTATCGGATTCCATTGGATTCCATCGGATTCCATTGGATTCCATGGGATTCCGTGGGATTCCGTAATATTCCACCGGATTCCAGGATTCCGTTTTTTCCCCCCTTGAGTTTTTGTCAAACACCCAAATATTCGTCGTAAAAATCCTGCAAATAAACGAAATGTATATACATTTGATATGACACAATATCGTTCTGTAAGAGCAGGTGATAAAATAATACCAGTACATGAAATATCACCATTTAAAAATGGTAAATCTAGCAATATCAACGTACGACTTTCTCAAATACGAAGTGTTAAACGTGAACATCGTTCAGATACTTTCGTACCACCTATTATCGGCAATTTCTGTACGTATATATATTTAATCTATATTAATAATACGACTTGTCTTTAAAAATGCTTAATATTGGATATATATATATTAAATATATTTAAAATTGTTTGAATACTTAATATTCAGACAAGAATATCAAGATTCGAAAAATTTTCCAAAGATCTAAACTGAACAAAAAAGAACATAGAAATATAGTCTTGTTTAAAACATTTTATTAGTTAACTATAGATGATATATATGAAGTATACTCAATATATTACAAAAGTCTCGAACAATGTGAATGTCTATATAAGTAGAAATTTTATCATTATAATCCTTTGATCTCAAATTTATGTTAAGGACTAGCTTGTTTAATCACTTCTATTGAAACGAGTTTTTATTTTCTTATCACCATACTTGAATGTTTCTTGGAGGGCATCATAGACTATAATATCACTTATAGATTATGAAACTGGATTTATGAAAAGGTTGAAAGAAAATATATTTGACATAGACAACAACGAATTTCTATAGAAAAGTAACATCTCTAATGTCCACCAAGCCCAAAAGTGCTAGTTCCGATATTTATGTTTAATGAAAGTTATTCAATGTTATCGTCTTCTTCTATATTGATATTAACATCGTCATCTTTTTTTGTCGACATTCTCATAATTCTTTGCATTGTCATCGTTAATAAACTATTCCAACATCTATGAGAATGTCTACTTCTTTTTCTGATCAACTCACTTGATAGTCATTATGCTTAACAACTATCACTAGTGAACATTCAGTTTGTAAATCAATCTTCATTTCTTTTGTAAACGCACGAATAAGACCAATTGATTAAATTGCTATTGGCAAACAACAATTATTATGTATAAGTAAATATTCAAATATGAAAAATATAAGAAATAAGTAACAATCATACAAAAAAAAATCAAGATAGCACAAGTGTTACGAATGTATAAAATGAGTTATCACTTGTATTTGTTAGTACTCATGTCGCATGTTTATTTGCACTATCCACAGTAGCGCTTACCACTTTCGGTTTCATCTATGAATGATTGCAGAATGTTTTCTACCTAAATTCGAATTATTTTTTTTCAATCTTTATCTACATAATTCAAATTTATTATTGTTTTTTTCATTTC